AGACGTTATCTCTGCTTCAAGTTTTATGAATTCCTAACATACTAAATTTATAAAGGAAAATTAAAAGGCACTAGATTAATCCATCTTACATCTCAATTTATTCTGGCTTCCTATGCCATTAAGACCCTAAACATAGAGACTGCAGAGATTGTCCAATGGTGAAGAACACTTGCTGTGCTTGCAGAGGACCTGAGTTCAGTTCCCAGCACACACATCAGGCAGCATACAACCACCTGAGACTTCAGCTCCAGAGGATGCAATGCTCCCTTCTGACCTCAGTGTTCACATGCAGACATAGATGTACACACATACACACACACACACACACACACACACACACACACACACACACACACTAGGGTTGGGTTTTTTTGGGGGGTCATCTTTACAAAACACATCTTTAGCAAACTTCACTGAACAAATTCCTATGAAAGACAGAAAAGAGCATCTCCACCTACCATCTTTGTATGAACAATACTTTCCAGTTTCCAAATCATTACCTTATCTGACCACCCCCATAAAGAAAGAGAGAATAAAAGTGCATGAGCAAGACAAATGAGGTCGTAGCTCCATGAATCTAAGAGTCCTAAAGAAATACATGTGAAAAATAATAGTGCTGGGACCAAAACCTTCTAACACGACACTAGCCTGGCAAGTTCTTCCCATCCATGTCCTCCCCCATCTCTCACACTGTGGAGCACCAGGCAGCATTAACCTCTGAGTGAGTTCAAAGGACTCATCAAAGCTTTAAGGTGGGTATGAAGCACATCGACAAGAATCTACTGCCAACAATGCTTCATTTCTGGAAAAGCCATGGAAGTTCAGCATTGTAGCATCAATCTAAACTCAACTTTACATCATCTTTACTTGTACATTCATCTTCCAGGCCAGGACAACACTGACAAAGCTGACCTTCCCCTGTGTTTACATGCCAAAGTGAAAGTCCAGCTAGCAAGTCCACAATTTGTCAAATGACAGGATTCTGCATCGCCTGAGAAACTACGGAAGCTTGAAATACTCAATGGTTCCACACAAAAACATTAAAAGATACCAAAATTTAGAATGGACATCAAAATAAGAGACTCGTTTATAAGCAAATCATTTGTGAAGCATGCAGCTTTGATTATAATATATTCAAATATATTCAAATACAGTGAGTAAAAGGAACAGCTTAAAGTCACTCAGCTTCACCATCAGGTCATTGGAATTCCAGTAAATATCACTGGAAAGTTATCCAGACATCTTTGTTAAGCTGTGCTATTTTGAAAAAAAAAATCTAACAGAATTGAATTGAAATTCCTTGGGCTCATGTCAGCATTCAAATTCGAATAACCTGGAAAATACCTCAAAATACCAACTCCCACTTTCTACCTTTTGGTCTAGAAATCCTTCAGGTCTAGTCTACCTGGGGTCCCGAATTACCACTGAACCAGTCTAGCAAAGCATCATCTTATCAGCTGTAAGGACGCACACTGAGGTTTTGAACCCAGTCACTGAGTTCAGAGCAAGGCTGGGATGCCTGGGAATATCAGGCACATTCATGGCCTGAGTAATCCTTGTCAGCAAAGAGTCGACTGATGCCTATGCTGCGCAGCTTTCAGCAGGCCAAGCACATAAAGAATCTAGTGTGCCTGCATTGCAGGCAAGTCCACACTGATGAGAGCCAGCACACACTAGCGGGTTGTGGACGTCCACTTCTAGTCAGGGCTTGCTTTGGCTTGTGTGTTTGAGGTGATATATAATTCCTGAAGACACATCTTCCCAAAGAAGTTGAGATGGGTGCCTGAGCTAAAGCTAAATTTATATAGATGGGAGGCATGCTGTCTTTATTAGAACATCTATTTAAAATGCTTCAATGTGGAAAGTTTGAAGCTAAATTCCCTATAGGAGATACAGGTCCAAATGGCTTCTATTTCTGGACATGACTGTGCCAGAAGGTAAGAAAGCAATACAGAAAGACCAGGAGAGAGAGAGAGAGAGAGAGAGAGAGAGAGAGAGAGAGAGAGAGAGAGAGAGAGAGGAGACTTCTCTAGATGATGGATGCCTCTGCTTTGTTCTTGGATGGGATGACTATTGATCCTAACATTCTGCAAAGACATTCTCAAGATCTCTTACTTTTGAGGTTTAAGAAAGCAACTGGATCTTAAGCAGAAACAGAGGTGGGGGTTTCAGATGTTAGCCTTACCCTCCACTTCAGCAGTACTGTCACCTTTAGTGTGACAGAGCAGGCAACGTGAAATAGATGGAGGGAGATGACCTGCCAGTGAGAAGATGCTCCTGGGTCCAGACCTGTCCTCCAGTGAGAAGATGCTCCTGGGCCCAGACCTGTCCTCCAGTGAGAAGATGCTCCTGGACCCAGACCTGTCCTCCAGTGAGAAGATGCTCCTGGACCCAGACCTGTCCTCCAGTGAGAAGATGCTCCTGGACCCAGACCCATTCTCCAGTGAGAAGATGCTCCTGGACCCAGACCTGTCCTCCAGTGAGAAGATGCTCCTGGGCCCAGACCTGTCCTCCAGTGAGAAGATGCTCCTGGGCCCAGACCTGTCCTCCAGTGAGAAGATGCTCCTGGGCCCAGACCTGTCCTCCAGTAAGAAGATGCTCCTGGACCCAGACCCGTTCTCCAGTGAGAAGATGCTCCTGGACCCAGACCCGTCCTCCAGTGAGAAGATGCTCCTGCACCCAGACCTGTCCTCCAGTGAGAGGATTCTCCTGCACCCAGACCTGTCCTCAGCCACTCTGAAGTTCCTTCTGATTAAGCCTTTCTCATTCGGAGATGGTGCACATCACAGAGATGCTTAAAGTAACCTACTGGCCTCCATCCGACTCTACTTTGAATGAGGAACCGTGGACAAACCAAACCACAAGGACACTTTCAGGGAGGAAATATGAACTGTTTCTCCATGAGGCAGAATTGTTTCCATTACACGATGGGCATAAAGGGCTGGGGAGATAGCATCTCAAAAAACAAATGGAATGACACCTGAGGCTGACCTCTGGCCTCCACAAACATGTGCAGGTGACATATACACACCTGTGCATGTGCTCTCCCTCCCTCCCTCCCTCTCTCTCTCTCACACACATACACACACACTCACACACACACACACACACACACACAAAGATGGGAATGAAGAAAGAGGCCCCCATTTCAGAGCTTCAAACACAGTCCCATCCAAATGCCCTCGCACAAGTCTGCACGAACTGCCAGACAGCGTGACAAAAGCTGCTTCCCAACACATCCACGAATATTTCATACAATTGTAAAAGCTGACATAATGAAGCCCTCCATAGTCCTTAGAATGCTTTCAGGTGCGTGTCTCTTCTAACAGTGGAACTCATGGGAGAACACAGAAGCTGAAATGAAGACAACAGTCAAAGGAAAAGACAGAACCTAGCCTGGGTCTACCAACTCAAAAAGTCCCAGGCTGTCTGCATAACAAAGCTCAACAGGCATCCAATACCTAGAGAGCAGTGCTTCTGACAAGCAGGTAAGGTCAGGCTCCACACTCTTCCCTTAGCCTGACATCAGCACCTCCTGGTCACCCAGGGAAAAATGGAATTTGACTCCAGATATAAGCAGGTCCGCTCGTCATACGAAGGGGTTGATGGAGAATTGCCCAACCCTGATCGGAGCCCAGGATCGAGAGCTGCATTTTAACAACATTTAAGTGTATTTGCTGGGTTTCCTTGAGCAATTCCTTTCACTTCTCTGTGTCTTAAAATCCTTTCCCATGAGATAGGAATAAACTTTCAGAATCGTGGGGACTCAATCAAATAACAGGTAAATCTCTGGGTGGGGAGTATGGTCAGAGCAAGGACTCAGATGTTAGAAATTTCTTTCATTACACACACACACACACACACACACACGCACACACACACACACACACACACGCACGCACACACACGCGCGCGCGCACATGCACACCAAGAGCCACTGGCTGATAACCACTGCTACCATCTTCTCTATTGTTTCTTCAAAATCTTAAAAATAAGCCTGAGAGAGAGGTAGGGAGTACAACAGGCACGCGCCATCAGCTGAGTGCATTTTCCACGCCACTTCTAACGTGCTATGACACCGAAACAAGTCAGGCCTCTGCTATCGATTTTTGGAATGTGTTCAGTGAGAGGGTCAGAAGGGATGGCGATTACAAAGACCCTTTTCCAGACTCCAGTTGCCACCAGGAAGGATGCGGAAATTCCGCTGAGTGGTTAAAATGGAGCTAAAGCCGCCACTGGCTTGAGCACTCCCAACTCTCCTCAAATGGCTGGCCTGAGTACGTCTGCCACTCTGAGCGAACTCTCTCCCTTAGATGGGCCTCTTGAACCCTGGCCAGGACTCTGGGTCCCAACTGGAATCAGCCCCAAAGTCCTCTGATAACAAAAGGAGAAGCACCTAGTGCCGAGGAAGACTAGTGTCTGCTTCACATCACCCACTGCATACCCTCCAGGCAGCTCCCCTTCCTGCCCAGCCAACCCAGCCCAAAAGTGAAGCCACCACAGCTCACCCAAAGCCCTCACCCACAGTTGCCCTTCCCACAACTAAATCCCAAAAGGTGCTAGGTCGTGCTCTCACCAAAACTCAGGCCCTTCAAACACCGCCACTCAACGCCTGAAAACACAGCTCGTGGCCCTCCTCTCTCCGACAGCCCAACTCTGCGATCGGCCCGTCTTGCCTGCCAACATTTCCAACTCTGCTAAAGCTGTTTATTGTACCTTGCAGCTGCCGTGGAGTCATGTACTTCACTTCGGCCTTCTTTGGTTATTGGCTCCCATTCTTCCCTCCCTGACACAAATCCAGACCCCAAAACGTTGAGATCTGCCTTGGTCCTGAGTCTGTAGAGCCCAGCTCCCGACCTTCCTCCTCCCTGATTCAAACTGTCCGCTGCCGCTTTTAAAACTTTTCCTGACACACCAAGAGAAGTACACGCAGAGCTTTCGTTTCTGAACAAGAAAATGAAGAGACAAAAAAAAAAAAAAAAAAGAGCCACAGCACTTACTTCCATCCAGGGACGACCAGTTTTGAAAAGAAGAAAACCGTTATAATCCAGTGTGTTCCCCCAACCCCAAAGGAAGAATTTGTTGCCAATCACTTCTTTTTCCACTTTGCCGGGGAAGGAGCCCCGTGGTAGGCATACATCCACAGGCTGATGCAAGATGCCTTTGAGAGAAACCTCACATTCTGAGGATTCCTGGGCCTGCGCCAAGGATCCCAGCATCCAATATATTACACATTTGCTTTCAATTAGGAAGGGGGTTGGGGAGGGAAGAAGGCAAGTCACCAATCAGAGCGGTTTTCTGTTTAGAGACCATTTCTTTTGACCCAAGGGACCACGAGCAAAGCTATAATTTACAGCAAAACCCATTCATAGAAGAAAAATATGTATAACCATAGGACAGACTTAAAGACGCAGCTCCCTTCTGCCATGTCCCAACTCATGTCTCCCCGTGCCCTTCCCCTCCATCGAAGACTTGGTCCCCATCGTGGGATGCTCCCCCCACTTCGTTTGTCTTACTTGAGCTGAAGCTATGAGAACAACTTCAGGTTTGGCGCCTCTTCATTTCACACTTCCTGGACAGTTGAGTCACACACACAGAACTGATCTTCCGTGTTGTAGCCACGAGAGCTTAGAGCTGAGCCCTCCTGGAAGAAAAGACTTGATTTAATCCCTCCCCCCACCACCTCCTCCACAAAAAAAAAAGAAAGAAAGAAAAGAAAAAGAAAGAACCTGAATGGTTCTAGCATCCAGGATTTCTCCTTTAAAAAAAAAAATTCAGTCCTCAGTTAGCTGCTGCTGAGATTCCTGCTGTTAAATGAAAACACAAAGATTTATAAACCTAAGTATTTTGTAACTTTTTTCTCTTCTCACCCCCCCACCTCCTTTCTGTGGTCAGAGTGAAAGAGACATCATGGACAGGAGGTATGTGACAGGGGAGGGACACTTGCTGGACTGTCCATGATAACTAACAGTCCTGTCCATCCACCCAGGTTCCGCCCTTAACTCTCCAGAGCCTGGAACACTCTTGACAAAGCATGGGACCTGGGAGTCTTGATTTTCTGTGTGTGTCATGACTAATGGGCAAGCAGAGCGGTGGAGGGAGGCAGATGGCCACAGGTAAACTCAGAAGACTTAGCCACCCTGTGAGAGCTAGCCTCTTCATAGTGATACCTCTTCCTGAGGTTTCTGAGAGATTGCAGCTTTTCTCTGCCCCCAATAGAGTAGACAGGAGAAGAGGTGAGGCTCCTCAGGAAAGGGCATGGCATACCTCAGTAAGCACCTCAGTAAGTAGTAGGGTGGCCAGTTGGGGTGTATGAAATTAAAATCCATACTGTCAGTGGTGAGTCACTCAATGGTCATAAACCCAGCATGGGTCCAAGAGTCAGAGAGTGGCTGTGAAAACCGTGTTCCTCAGTGGGAGAGGACACAGAGAACTGGCAGACTGTGCCAAGACCAACCACCCAGACAGCAACAGACAGAAAATACAACTGGGGAGAAGAAAACTAGAATTAGGGCTATTTTACAAAGATAAGGTCAGAACAGAGATGAATGTTATAAGAGGGCCCTTCAAACAATATAGCGCATATGACATCAGGTGTGAGGATGACTGAGGCCAAGATAGTTAGCTCAGTTGGCTAAATACTTATTTTTAAAAAACCCCACTGGTCAGACACTTCACTGGGTGCTTGCCAGAGGCATCCACGAACATCTGGCTGATTCTGCCTCCCGGTGTCTATGAACCACGTTTGGTGAGGTCACAAGTTAAAGCTGAGAAGCAGTGGGATAGCTTTGCAAAGGCTGAGCCTAATAAAAGGCAGGTATTTTTTCTTGTTTTGTTTTTTGAGACAGGCTTTCTCTGTGTAGCTCTGGCTGTCCTAGAACTCACTTTGTAGACCAGACTGGCCTCGAACTCAATGAGATCCATCTGCCTCCGTCTCCCAAGTGCTAGGATTAAAGGCATCTGCTGCCATCATCACCCAGCCAAAAGACAGGTATCTACGTATGTGTGTCCTCAGCGTTGCTGATTTCAAAACCCAAATCCCTGGCTCTGCCTGAGGATGGCTGAACAGCCCCATTGGGAGTTATTTGTGTACAGACCAAGGAGACTTCTGGGGAAACGTGAGGAGAGAGAACCAAGAGGCTTTGAAAGGTGCAAGCCCAGGATCTGGAGAAATGGGCCAATAAACAAAGTGTTTGCCACACAAGCATGAAGACTGAGTCTACATCCCCACATCCACATTAAGAAACAGCAACAAAAACCCTGAAACCGCCATAATCATTGCAGATTGCAGTGAGGCTGGTGAACGAAGAATCCCTGGGACTTGGTGGTAAGCTAGTCTAGTCCAATCAGCAAGGCCTGGGTTTAGTGACTGATCATATCTCAGGGGGGAAACAGTGAAGAGTTATTGAAAAAGAAACTAGACATCAACCTCTGGCCTCCATACCCACTAGCCTACACACACACACACACACACACACACACACACACACACACACACACTCGATGAGGAAATACAAGTCCAGCTAAGTTTTGCCAAAGATAAGGAGAAAAACTGCTGCATTTGTCATTCAAACCATTACATCACCCCAAATTCCCTGTTGTTCAGGCAAACTTGAACCACATCTCAGGTCTAATTGTGAACTCTAAGAAACAGATAGAAACAGATACTACCAAAACAAGAGCAAGGAAAAACTAAAAGTAATATTTCACAAAAAGAAAATACTTACGTGCTGTTTATAGCATTAGGAGGGATTGTTTTTGAGATTTTTTATGAGTGTTTTGTCTGCATGCATGCCTATGAACCACATCTGTGCCTTAGATCCTGGGACATCAGAAGATGATGCTTAATCCCATGGAACTGTGAGCCACTGTATGGGTGCTGGGAATTGAACCTGAATCCTTTGGAAGAACAAGTGCTCTAAACCACTAGACCAGCTCTCCAGTCCCAGAAGACTCATACTTGAGCCTCAGTTTCCCAGGGCATCTCTGGTGGAGTTGGGAGGCCTGGGCTATACTGGGGAGAAAAGAGGTAGCAGGTGTTACTTAAAAGCTGAGAGCACCGCCTTTAATCCCAACACTCGGGAGGCAGAGGCAGGAGAATCTCTGTGAGTTGGAGGCCAGCCTGGTCTACAAGAGCTAGTTCCAGGACAGCCTCCAAAGCCACAGAGAAACCCTGCCTTGAACCCCCCCCTTGAAAAAAAAAGCTGAGCACACCAACACAAAAGAAAATTCCTGAGGACTTTAGAACCGTTTGACAGTTTCAAGTAAGACTGGAATTCATAGTGCTTCAGGAACAGATGTGGAGAAGCACTGTTTTATTAGTCTTTTGTGTGCAGATTTTACCCCCTGGTTTGTTTGGCTTGGGAGGTATGAGTCATAGCAATCAGAGTTATTTATATCCCATAGAAGGTAATACATCTTAGTTAGGACTACTTTTTTACACTGAAAATGAATTAACTGAGAAGCAATACACAATTCCCTTAGTAGGGTCTCACTAAAAATAGAATCCTGTGTGGGATGGTGAAGATGCAGTGGTCCAGGTGGGGGCGTGACTCAGTGTAGAACACTTGCCTAAATATGTGCAAGATCCTGGGTTCAACTCCCAACATCCCTCCCCTGCAAAAGAACAGTGCCAATTAAGGAAACATGTAAATGGTAAATGACTTTTCAAGAACTTGTCACCTGTATACCCGAGATGCAAGTGAACACAAGTGCTGACACAGAAATAACTGTCCTATCTCACCTGGAAATATGTAGGAGCTGGTGTCTGTGTGATGCTTCAGGAAGCAGAGAGTGGAAGTGAACGAAATTTAATGTATCCTTAAAAGGATATGTGGGTTTTCACAGAAATTGTCTGCCAGTGACCTAGTCCATGATTTCTCTCCACCTTCTTCTCTTCTATTTTCCATGTGCATTCATTTCTGTCCCTCCCCCACCACGCAGCAAACCAGCTTTTGTGTGTGTGTTTCTTTTCATACATGTCTAAAGGTGGTAGCCCTAAAATAGTACCTTAGTTCTTAAATTTATACCTCTTCATTCCAAGTAAACATGACAAGATGACTGGAGTATTTGAAGCCTGATTCCAGAACCTAGGGCTGCAGAATTTGCTTTAGTCAGGCATGGTTCATGTGTTCATTTTCTACATTTGAAGAGGGTTTGGAGGTGACACATGATGTCCTAGGTCTGTGACCCCAAGGAGCCACATTCACACGTAAGTCAATTATCAGAAAATACTAGACAGAGTAAGCAGACCACCAAATTGTTTCTATACCAGTAATTATTAAGGACTGACAAAGCCTAGACTGTAAAAACACTATACCTTCCCAATGTGAAAACAGAACTTTGCATACAATAGAGTTGGGTGAGAGGAAGCAAAGGAAATACTATTTTTCTTAAAGGGAAGGATCCCAGGATATCTAAATATCTAAACAGCAGCATAACATGTTTTCAGTTACCTCCTGGACACTGGTTTAGGATTATCAAATCTACACAGGCTTACAAACTATCTATAAACCCATGTGCATCAAAGCATGGATAGTGTCCAAGATCAATCTATCTCTGAGATTATTCCTTTTCTAGTTCAAGTCTTCACCCTGCATTCTAATAGACAATCTTCTTCATGGGGAATGACTGAAATTCAAACACCTAGAAGGCAGAATCACCTCAAGCAAATCCTTAGCTGGTCATAAAATAAAGAGCAATATGAGCAGACATATTTTGAGGATCTGATGATATAATGAATCAAGTATTATATAATATTCACAATGCATAATACATAAAATAAGATGTACTAAGTGTTCACAATGTCCCAGGCAGCCTTGTAAGAATCTTCCATCTATCTCTTCATTTGATGCACACAAGGATTTCTTTGGGAGGGTACCCTGACATCCTCTGCATCCACAGAAAGAACTGATGTATAGAGACACCAACTTGTCCAAGTCTATTGTGGAGCTCTAGAATGCATGTGTGCATGCACATGCTTCACTAACAATAAAGTGTGTTTACATGGCGAATAGAAAAGACTGAAGAGCCCTTGGGAAATCATTTTTAGCTCTTCAGAGATTGAAGACACATTATCCATGTTTCCTTTCCTATCATTTTCCACTCCTGAAACCCATCATTGACTGTCTCTTTCCCTAAGCACTTTTCCCAGAGAATGAAATGAGAATTAAGAGAGAATTTCAATTGGGGCTGTC